GCAACTGCTGCTTGGATTCTTTCAGTGAACTCTGGCCCAAAATAATTATCTCAAATTCAAGTTGAACTTCTGAATAATCATATGATTAAAAAAGATCATTGAGTAATACTGTAGAATGCTGAAAATATTAGAAAATTAGTTTGGAACCCTCTGTGGATGCTGCAAACTTCTCCAGTGTAGAATGTGCTTTAAAAAAAGTAAAGAAATGAGCATCTAGAGTGTATTTTAAGAGTGTTCCATTATGAAAGAAGGAATTTTCTGACCTAGGTCAAAGCTTTTAGGACAGATTGTTTCCTTATGAGCATTTTTAAACAATGGTTATGTTATTAAGACTCTTGGCAAAAGGTCAGATTAAGTGGAGGGAGGAGGATAGGCAATTGAGGGAAACGTTTTCTATGTCATCCAGTCAGAAGCTTGCAAGCCCATTTCGGAGGATGTAATTGAATAAAATGATAATTTCCTATTAAAAACATAGGGCATACAATTCTCAAAGACTTACTGGGAGTAGTTTCACTGCTATTTTCCAAATATGACCAATTTAATTCAATTTCTTTGATTAAAACCAGATTCTGGATATGGGAACAAAATTGAGGCCTGAGAGAAGATGAGTAGTCTACTCAATCAGCTTTATTCCTAGCTTTTTCTTAATATGTGAATTTAGGAAATCAATTAGCCTTTTTTATCCTTGAGTTTTTGTTTTTTAAATTACATGCTTGGTGATCTGTCCCTTAGTCGTATACATCAAGACTGGGACACTTTTCTTAATAGGTATGGTGCCTTCAAAGAAAGCATCTTTTCAAACATTCAAAAGCCAAAATGTCAGCAAGGGTATCTTTTTAATCTATATGTTGCATTTGTCTCTATCTCCAATCTCTGCCTTGCTGTCAATTCCATCTGCCTCCACTTCATCTTCTAGTATTGTATTTGTACTACATGCTTATGCATTTATCGAAGCTTTATTCTGGCCTTTGGAAAAATATTTGTGTAAGCTGGATATTGGTGATTTGATCTAAAATGGAATGCGGGCTACTTTTGTCAAGGAGAAAAATGGCAGATTAATGTTGGTTTTGAGTCAACATGTGATTTTGAAGTTCAGATTGAGTTCTATGCAAGTGTCTATTTTTGTGTAAGATTAAGATTTTCAAATCTCAAGTTTTTCGCTTTTTTTTAATTTAGAAAAAAGAAAGCAGTATGCAGTTCAGTAAATGCTCCTCATACTCAAAATTGTTGAGGTGGCATGGTTAGCTATGAAAGCATAATGAGTTTTTGAGGATATACATAAGGTGGTCTTGAGGGCACGGAGGCAGACTTTTGAGATGTTTGTTTCTAAAATGGGCTGTTCCTGATTATCTGTTTCAAAGTGACTCTAAGTATGGTCAGGAATGAAGATATGTCAATTCTGTTATCAGAAAGAACAAGCTGAGAGAATGAAACCTGGTTTTTATATCTACCTCTGCCAGCTGTGATCTCTGACAACCTTTCAGACCCTCATCTGAAAGGAGGTATGATGCCAGTCTGCCTTTTGATGCCTAAATGAGTAAGAATAGCAATGAATTGGGGAAGAGGGTAGAAGTGAACTTGTGATCTTTTGTCCTTTGTGCCTCTGTAGGTCTGATCTGGCATGTGAGGAACCGTGGAACAAAAATTGCTGGAATTCAGCAGTCTTGCTTTAATATCTTTTTAAGTAGAAGCTGTCAGCGTGTCTGTATACAACTATGTAGAAAAGATCTAAAAGTTTATAACTCAAAGGTAATTGATAATTATTAATTTTCAAATTTGTGAATGCGGTGTTTTCCAAAATGAGAGACTCAAGCAAACCTCAAAAATTAGTGCTTACAGCTTTCTTCCGTGAACACTTGAGATTAGTTTATATTAACTTTTCACATCAATTTTTCATAAAATGTGCCAATTTTGAGTAGAAAACATAGTAAAAGCTGTTTGGTGTTTTGTTTTTTTTTTTTCTTTGAAGATTCATTTGTGATTAGGAGAGAAGCTTTGTGAAATCCACTATTTATTTTAAGACAGGGCTGATAAAAAAATATTAATAGTCTTAAGGCACTATACTAATACAAGGTATTTTGGTATTTGGGAGGATTTTGTATGCCTAGGCAGTGGGAGGTTACAGATACTTATAACCACGGTATAACCAATGTATATATGCAAAATACATACAGGCAGTTATTTTCTAGATGAAACAATGTTTAGAAAATACTTGCTGGTACCTCAGTGTTGCATTACTTTCAGACAGTAATTTGGAAGTAAATTTATGGCATCAGCTTTTTTTTTTTAAGAATAAAGATGATGTCTCCTGTAGGTGTTATGACTTGGCATGCTGCTGAGCAGTCTTCTTGCTGAGCTACGAGGTGTGTGGGAGTGTTAATATTCTCCTTTAGTCACCTTGTACACCTATCCCTACATGTGAGGACAAAATATGTGGTTACTTTATCACCTCAAGGCAGATTTTAAGCAGGTGGTACCAGTTCAGTGTTCTAGGAATTCTTGAACCCAGTGGCTGCTTTTAAAAGTTATGAGCGAAAACAGGCTATTTACAACAGCCTGCCTGGGACTCTAAAGACTCCTCACATACACCTTTTCCTTCATATTCCTTGTTCTTAGGATCTTGCTGTTTAGCTGCTCTAACATCATCTCTCCCACAATCCCAACTTTTACCCGCAGTATCATTAGCTGCTACAGCCTGCTGAGCTTAGCACTTCATTGGTCTTCCTGCTAAAGCTCCAGCTTCTGTTTCTGTTGGGTATATCAGAAATGCAGGAAAAGTCTTAATTTATTAGAAGAAAAGCCTTACCCTTGATTGGAGCCTGAAAGCACAAAAGATGTGAGCTAGGAAACAAGAATGGACATACAGTATCAAGTGATGGGCAAAAAGTTTCAAACTGTTTGACAGTGTGTGAACACATGCAAGCTCACTCTACCACCAAGTAATTGTGATGCTATTAAATTTTCTGGTTGAGAGGTTTGCATTGCTTCTGGAGGTAGTAAATCTTCCCTTGCTAGTCTCTGACAAACAAGAAGCTGTCTTCTCAGGCTTTCATCTTTCGGAGCATGTAAAGAGGTGCTAGAAGCTCCTCTTCAGAGAATATAGGGTAGGGTACACCTGTCCCTGTATATACAGCATTTTGGCTTTGGTAGTCCTCTGTGGGGGAGAGTGGAGCAGCACCATCCAGGGAAGTTGTGTGGCTTGAGTGTATTCCTGGTGCAGGCAGCATTACTTTTACCCTGATATCAGTGGAAATGATGGTAGAGGCATAATGGGGATGAGTGATGGGGCTACACTTGTAATGTATTCTCTTGGCATAGGGTGCAAGGATTACTTTTGTGGCTGCTATAACAATGTCAGCATCTGATAGCTCTGCAATCATCTCTTGAGTATGACCTAGTTACTGGTGTATTGCCCATTATTAGCATAATTCTGCAGGGCAGGAAACTGAATTTGTTCCTTCATGATTTCTGTTAGAAATAAGTCATTAAATACATAATTTTGTTTAGGTACAATTTGTAGATGAATGTAGCAGAAACAAAGACAAATGTTGCTACAGGAATTAGAGTTTAAACTAGATATAACACCACTGTGAGCCGGGCACTTGGAATTGATTTTAATGTGAAATCTGTTTCTTATGTGAAATGTAAGCTTCCCAATCTTCTGCGAATTTGAGAAAATTTTTTTAGGTTAGTCAGGCTAATGTGGTCCTGGAGCTGAGAATTCAGATTGTTGGAATAATGCAGAAGACTGATAATCTTCTCTCAAGCCTTTCTTTGAAAGACTGATTTAGAAGCTTGTCAGTCTTTTAAGTGGCCTTCACATAGGACATAGAACTTTCTCTAATAAGATTAAAGATACTTTCTCTAATCTGTTGGGTATTCTACCCTTCAGGTTATCCATAAAAGGAGCAAGGCAAAGACCAAGAAAACTGCCTAAAATTCCTAGTTTTTATTCTGAGATTCAAGTACATCTAGACTGCCTGTTTATATTGAAAATGTTTATCATTGCTTTCGTGTAGGAAGTGAAGCAGTTTTGGAAACGTGCCATTTTGTCTCGTGACTGCTTCTTTCATAGAACTAATAATTACTTTTAACACTGAAAAAAGGAAGCTGTGTCCTGTCTTGTACAATATTTTGCAATATGGTAATGGGGAAAGTATTTCTTACTGTGCTGTAATATGTGAATTAGCATACTTTTATCCAAAACCTAAGAAAGTTAAAATACTAATTTTCTACACATGCTGATATATGCTTATTAAAACAAAGTATTTAGTTTGTTCCTGTTAAACAGTCCTTATTAATAAAAAAAATCTATCAGAAGATGGAAATAATTGGAAAAAAGTATTTGTTTTTATTTAATAAATGTGGATTTTAAGAGGAAATTTATGTGGGTTTCTAGAGAACAAAAAAGAGTACTGTTCTAGGAGTTTCATACTGATGGTCAGAGATTGAGTCAAGGATTGCAGAAACTATAAAACAGTGTGTAAGGAATTGAATTTATTTGTAAATTATTATGAGTTTTGCCTTTTCAGGAGAAAGGTGAAGCTACTAGATTCTGTCTGGATTAATTGTTAAAAATACTAGTATACTACGTAGCTGCTTCACCCAGTGTAAAACTGTTCCACAGTTTATAACACAAGGCTTGTCTCTGCCCATATTGCCAATTTAGGATATCATAACATAGCAAGACTAACTGCTACAAAGATCTCTTAACTTCTTACTGCTTTGTCTGAAAAGATAAGACCAACGTCCTGAAGTTCATATATCCTGAATGCAAAGGAAGAGGACAAGGAAAAAGTTGAAAAAGTTTGACTTAATGTTTTGACTTTATGGAAAGTGGACTTATTTGAGGTGGTCTAATTGGCTTGGGTAGGCTAGGGCAAGGAAAAGGGTGAGCATAAGTTGCATTAATTGGAGTTAATTGTCGAATTCTTATAGATGGAATTTTTAGTATTTTTTTTCCAAATTCTAATACAATCTTTCAATTTTTTCCCTACCAGTATCCCCTTATGTTTGGACTGATCCTTGCATTCTGCTGGTGTGCTTTGGTTTGCTGTAGTCGAATTTATATGGGAATGCATTCAATTCTGGTAAGAAAATAATCCTAGTAAAATTTTATTTTAATGTTGTTCGGATTACATAAACTTCCATCACACTTAAGTTTTTACAGTGCAGTAATTGTATATAGCTTTTTATTTTTATTTTTTTTAGTATGTCCGACCGTATAGGAACGGAATACTTAACATTTCTCCAGCAGAGAAATTGAGATAGTTAAAAGTGGATGTCAAACTTATATTAATTTATACTTTTCTTTCATAAACCCAATCCACAGTTGAAACTTAGCTGATGTTTACTAGCAGTTTAGTGCAGAAATTGACTGTACTGAAGTGTAGACTCAGTTTTCCTCTACAGAGTAGAAAGAATTTTGCAGGATGAGAGAGTGGCTGTTAACATCCACTCAAAGCATGAGCATTTCAGAGTGCCATGCTAAATGCTGAGGTTTCACTTGCCAAAGCTTCTAAAGAACCAAATAATAAAGTTGTCATCTTTGAAAAACAGACTTCTTCGTTAAAAAGGATTAAAAAAAAAAAATCAAACTGAAATACAAATGGCATGCAATGTAAAAATGGGAAAACAAGAAAACGACAAAATGGTAATCCGAATGGAAGACCACTAGTAAGTATGGCTAAAGAGGTTTTTGAGGATCACTTGCTAGAGGGGAAAAGCTAACAGAAAACAGTAAGCCTGGTAGTGAGTAGTGAAGCTGGTAGATGGTCACAGTGTAAAAGGAGGATGTGAAAATAAGGCAGCTCAGAAAAACTGCATGATGTATTTGCATTAGTGATTAGGAGGCTTCCCAAATCAGAACCACTTGTGTGTAAGACAATGGGATGAACTGATATTTCAGCTGACAGTGTCAGCTGACAGATAATGTCTTAGAACAAAGTCATGCAACAAATAGTGATGCATCATATAGACTAGGTTATTCAGCAGTTTCATACCTGAATCTTCTATAGTGTTTGAGTGAATACAATTAACCATGTGTTGCCTGTAATATAAATCAACCATGGTGCCTAAGTTTGGAGGGGGTGGGGGTAGGGTGGCAAATATGGCAGAAAGTTGTTGTGGTTGCTTCTGAAATGAGCAAGTGTGACTTTCATATCAGTCAATTGTATTAGCTTTTATCAGCGTTCAATTAGTGGAAGTGAATAAAAATGATTCATTGAAGATGGCGCAATAAAAATACTGCTGACAAAAGTCCCACCTCCTGGCTCACATGGAAGAGTTGATAAGTATGTGAATGAAGGTGATCCGGTTTCTAGTGCTTGGATTTCTAAAAAGCTATTGACAAATTCCTTCCTAACAACTTAAGGTGACAGAAGTTGCAGATAATTCTGTGCAACTGTGATTCATCAACAGTAACTGAAATTTAATGCTAAATTACAAAATAGAGTAACCTTTTAATTAAGAAAAGACATTTTTAAAACAATAATAAAACTGAAAATCAAGTATGAAGCCACAGAAGTTCCCTCTTCCTTTAATATTTAGAAACAGTTTTCCATTCGTGCAGTATTGTTAATTCTGAAGCTGGAGTGGAAAGTCTAAGCTGCTCTAATGCTTAGCTGCAGTGGTCCTCGACTGCCTTACCAGCTGTTGCTGCCAGTGTGCCTGGGTGTTGGCACTCAGGCACTTAGATCCAGTGTTGAGTGTTGGCAGAACTTATTTAGCTGGGCTAGCTTTGTGCTGACTGTAGGCTGGAATGCCCCAGTCCTGGACAAGGACCTTTGTAGCCAGCAGATAGGTAGATCTACAACTTTGTTTGATCATGGATCATTTGGTTATGGCTTCATTCATGATAATGATCATTCATGATCTGATCATGATGCAGATGTCCTACTAATAGGTGATGAAATGCAATTCCTTACGTTATCTTTAGCATAAAAAAGATTTAATCTTGTACAGTAAATGAGAAAAGATGGGAATCCACAAGTTGCTTTTAGCAACAGAGCAACTAGGCTTGTCTCCATGCTAATGTAACTAAATTTTTTTTTTAAATAGCTTTTGCAATGAAACCGTATCTTTCTCTCTCTCCAACAGGATGTTATTGCTGGATTTCTGTATGCTATTCTCATCTTGGTTGTCTTCCATCCAGTTGTGGACCTGATTGATAACTTCAACTTAACTTACAAATATGCACCCTTAATTATCATCAGTCTCCATTTAGCCCTGGGCATCTTCTCTTTTACTCTAGACACCTGGAGCACATCGCGGGGGGACACAGCTCAGATACTGGGCTGTGGTGCTGGAGTAGCCTGTGGTTCTCACGTTAACTACATAATGGGTCTAAAGCTAGATCCTCTTCCCGATATGTTACCTTTATCTCTTTCCTCTCTCACTGTGACTGTGTTTGGAAAAGCCATATTGAGGTTGTTGATTGGAGTAATAGTTCTGTTGTTAACAAAAGTGGCAATGAAAAAAGCCACTATTCCATTGGCATGTAAAATATTTCGCATACCACATGACAATGTACGGAAAGCAAGACAACGCATGGAAGTTGAGCTTCCCTATCGCTATATTACGTATGGAATGGTTGGGTTCTCCCTCATGTTTATAGTTCCTTGCCTGTTCCATTTTATTGGTCTTTCTTGATGCAGTTTTATCACTTTAAACAGGGAGGACAGAGCAAGTTGGTTTTTGAAGAGGTGCACTAGTTTGCTAAGGGAAGGCCAGTGAGCTTGGCTTTAGCAGGGTTTTCACTTTAACAGCAATACATAACAGGCAAAGCATTTAAAGAACTTTGCACATCTTTGGGTATGATACGGGGCCAGAAGTCAAATATCAGTCCACCAGAAGTGCTGAACTCTATAAATGCTATGTCTAGACTTATTGCTGTAACAAAGTATCTGTGTGTGTGTGATGCAATGAATGTATCTGGAATGTCTGTCATACTGTACCTGTATACATTGACATTTTAACAGGTATGTCTGACAGCTAATCAGAAAGCTCCATTCATGATCTGTTTGCCATTTCATAGTAATTTATTCAAGTTGTTGGACCATAGACTGCTAAATTTGCTTTCCTCTATTCTTTCCTGAAGTCCTGCTTCAAGATGTTTCAGCTAATAGGCATTTCTAACGGACCAAACTTGTAATGAGGTTGAATTTTTCTAAAAACCAAACAGAAGCCTTTTTGTCTAGCCCCCTCTGCGAAGTAAAATGTCTGGATTGGCATTAGTAGATATCACTAGCGTATATATGATTCAGGTACTGTATTTTATGGTTTAATAACTGTGCCTTTCTGTTGCTAAATTAAGAAATGCCATATATACTGTGATGTAAAAATGCCTAATTTTAATTAAAATCCTACATAATTAGGCAGATTTTTTAAATGTTAGATTGTCCATGTTGCAGGCATGGTTCAAGTTAACTGGAGTATTCAGTTTAGCCTGATCAAAATTGCATAAATGAAGTGACCCAAGAATTGTGTCCTTAAGCTCAAGATATTGTAAATGGACAATAATCCCTTTTGTAAGTATTTTTAATGTGTATTGTAAGTTACTGGAAGAGGATATATTTTTCTGGAGATTGTTTATACAGTGGACAGATATTCAAAATTAATTATCTAAACATATAAACAATAAAGCCACCCCATTCTGCAAAGAAATGGGCCTCACTTCTTATTCCAAACTAATTTAGAAGGACCATTGTTTTTAGATATTTGCTTAGAAAATATAATCCTTATTCTAGAAAAAGTATATGTATTTTTATGCATTAACATACAATATTTAAAGGTGATAATCACTTTTACCCAATTTGGATAGCTGTAAGACAATATAGTGATCAAATTAAATTTTTCATAATTCTGATAGGCAGATTGTGAGCAGTCAAGACAGTATGGTCAATGCATAAACGGTTCGTGCATATCTAAATTTTACTGAATTATTATGCACTTTTCAGCTTTTCATGATCCTTTTTCCAGTGATGAGTAGAATATGACCCTTCAACTGTAATTTCACGTGCCTCTTTGTGTTTCATCTTGTCTATGTTGATGTGTTGCCTAATTTGTTCTTTCCATGTCAGGAACTGTTATATTGCAGCAAGAGCTGTCTTATTGCCTGGCCAGACATGAATTGCTTAATTTTGTATTGTACATTTTTTCACGAAAAACATAATTTGGTTGGGAACTATAGTGATTAGATAGGATACAAAGCTTACATTTTTTTGTAAACAATATTTGGAGTTGGAAAGTTTTTTGTATTGGCGCTCCTATCTCCAAACTGTTAATATGTGAATTAACAAAATTAACTTTGTATCTCTTTCCTCAGAGCAGTCAAGGTTATGGTACGCTGGCATTAGATGATGTGAAAAGCTGACTTTTCTGATGCATTTTTTCAGTGCATTCAGAATGCATGGCTATGAATGTATTCAAACTGATGTATTCAGAACTGATAGTGTGTTAAACAACTTACATAGTTGAAAAGACTTTACCTAGTAGAAAACGGTTAGCTTGTTTCAGTGCATATTTCTGGATTTGATTTTTTTATCTGTTCCTCTTTTGCAGTTTAATGCTGAATGTGCAGTAAAAGGTAAATTGGTTTCTAAGGTTTTGAGGGAAGGATTTCCACTGTGTTGGCTTTGCACACTAAGATAGTCAATAAATAAATAGCTGGGGGGAATGTACACAAAATGCCTTACACTTAAAGCCCTGAGCAAGTGGTGTAGTTCCAATTACATTAAATTAGTCTGAGGACTGGTGAAAATAATAGGATAACTTTCTCTGAAATTAAGGGCACATTCTCCTTAAATATCCTAGCTTTACAGTTTATAGCAAAAAATGTTTAAATTCTAGCACAGAAGAGACAAGTGAGCAAAACTGATGTTTTTTTTTTAAGGTACATATTTGACTTCTAGGAACTTCAAGTTTATAGCATAAGAGTGTTCTTAAAGCTGTCTTTTCTGGCTGTGCTTGCTCTGTTGTACTATTAATGGAAAATAAAATCTACTGTGTAAGATGGAGAATGAGTGGGGGAAAAAACCCATATGCAGGTAGGGCTTTCAACAGGCTAAGGAAAATTGCACTGTAGCTTATTCTACTGTTACTCATAAATAGATATTTTATATTTTTATACATTACATTGGGTAACTTCAAAATGTCATGTTCCATGTACCACATAGTCTAGTACCCAGGAAATGTATATCAGAATGTTTATACAGCACCTTTACAACCCTATCTCTAAGACTGCAACTACTTTACTGAAGTTTACATGAAAAAAGTTTTACTATTCTATTTTCATGTTTTATAGGGGGCTAGGCTCAAGAGGGCAGTTTAGCACAAAATATCAGGCAATATGAATACTGTTACAGAATAAAGAATCACAGAAATGCAAAAATAAAAAAAAACCTTAAATATTTGTATCTTAGGATATTTTTGTTTAATAATAAGCTAAGATTCCTTCAAATCAGGCATAACAAAACAGCAGGTAAAACTGGAGCACTTTGTTTGCCCTAAGCTATTCCTAGAGTTGAACATGAAAAATGTTTCTAGTATAAGCATCAGCTGGTACCAAATTATTTATAAATAAATTTAACATAGCTTTAAAAGGTAGTTAACATGTCTTTTCAGAAAGACCATACACTTGAAACCTTTCATGGTGGTGCAAAAATGTATTCATATGTCACTGCTAGTGAACTTCCTCAGTTCCAGGTTGTATAGTCCTAGAGAGAGATATAATACTACTTTATAGAAGCAAATATAAATACACATTTATTACGAAAAGCTACAAGTTAAATTTATCTTATTTGATTACTGTATGAAATAAAACCTGAAACTAACAGTCACGTAGAGTGTGATTTGGCACAAAATTGTGTTTTCCAAGAGGCTGAAGAGACTCAAATTAGTCTTAGACTGCCTTAAACACAGGAGCAGGAATTTTTTCTGACCTGGCCCTCAATCAGAACTAACATATGCATTGCATATTGGGTAAATTTTAGAATCTGTTATTTTGAAAATGGTTTAATGTTTATAAAAAAGCTATTACTTTTGCTACCCATACCATGAACTGGTGTTGAAGCATCTTTCTCCTGTGTGATCACCTATGAAGCTCTTCAGCCTGTCATCACATTTGCCTTACCACTTACCTTGCAAATTGGGGGGAGGGGGAGAGGTGGAGAAGCTATTTTATGGTAAATTGGCAAACCAAAGGGAGTTGTATTTTGCGTATTTGCTTGGAATTTTTTTTAAGCTTACGTACAGCTTTTCTCCTGGGGGAAAAAAAAAAACCCAGATGCATTTCTTTTAAAATGGCATCTCTAAATGTGATATGTGGCTTTTTTTTTTTACCAGAACAGTGTTAAATTGTCTGGGTTTTAAAAGCTATTATGTTTTCCTTTGCTACTATTTTTTTATTACTGCTTTCATTATTTTATACTCAGTTTCTTGCTTATTTCCCAGGGAGTGTCCTGAACTTGTTGTAAGCAATTGCTACTTATGTGAAGATTGTAATTTTGAACTTGTAAATACTTAAGGGCTGTTAGTGGCTGTTAGCTGCTCAAATACATACAAACAAACCTTGCATGCTGTAAGTAAATACATCTGTTGTGCTAAAAGTTGTTTCTATTTCAGTATTTGCTTTCTCAATACAAAATTGAGATTTTTCACACACAATACATAAGATATTTAATAATTCAATGGTATGAAGGGGCATGGCTGTCTAACTCTTTACTGGGAGTCGTGCACCTAGTTCCTTCCATGTTACATTGAGAATGAACCCTGAAGGTCACATCCATGCTCTGACACGCATGCAGTCATCAGTGTGTGTGAAGTGACTTATCTTCTAAGGTGTAAATGTAATGTCCTTGCTTTTGAGGTCTGAGAGATTGTTCTTTTTAAAATCATACTTAGCCCGGTTTTTACAAGACTTTTAAAGGGCTTATCTTGGAAGCTGTTTCTTAGTATGTGGAACTGGCTGTACATTTGCAACACTTAATTGATGCTTTCCCCTCTGTACCATAATTGTGCTGAATGATGAGATCCCAGAATAATGTCAGTAGATAAAATGATGACAGGAGAATTGATTTCTTGGAGTATTGTGACACAGCTTACTTTAACTGATTCTTGGGTGGTTTTTTGGTCTCATGTAGAACGGTTTTAGGTTATACAATTTATTTCTATACTCTATAAATGACTTCGAAGAAACTTTGACTTTTTGTGGGAGGAAGTCTCATTGAATGATGTCATGCCAGAACTTTATTCTAGTGGAAAGCTTAAGTGGCCTTTTTGTCTCAGAAAAAATATATAAGCCTATTTTAAAATTTACTGTAAATACCATATTTGTCAAATTGATAGATTAGTTCCGTCACTAATGTTTTTCATCCTACAATACTTCTTGAAACAAAGGCAAACAAAGCTTAATTTGGAAACAAAATGTGATGCTGTGTGGCAGAGAGGATATAGCTTTTCAGGTGTTCTCTAAAAAGCAAGTATCACATGCTGGAGTTGAAGCAAATTTAACTATGCATTAGAAAAATTTCTTTGTGCTCCATTCTGCACCAGAAATAATTTGCATGTTGCTATGAGTCCATTTAACAAAACGAAGCAAAGCATATATGCTTGCAGTATATAATTAGTAACTGTTCCTGTAGGATCAAAGAATAGAGGGTACATACGAGAATACTACCTTAAAGATATTGACCAGTAAATGTAAATAAAAAGTCCTATCAAGTTG